CTTCTGACTGCAGTCTCCCCCTCTCCCCCTCTCTCTCTCCGCCCCCCTCCCCCTCCCCCTCCCCCTCTCTCGATCAGTCTCAGCTTCAAGCTCTTCTCATTGTTCGGCCATTCCATCGGTACGCTGTTTCCATGACAACGGCATCTTCCCGGGTGTGTGTGTGTGTGTGTTTATGGGCGAGAGGCACCGGTACTCCGCGGGGACAGGATGATAGGGGAGTAACGGCACATGTGTTGGTGTGCGCTCACCACAGACTCGTGTTTATTGGCCCTGCCGGCTCTGGGGCCGCGGTAACCGGGGAGAAACCGGATCCCACCGGATAGAACAATGTGTGGCTCGGTTGGTTCCCCGCGAATAAAGGAAAGTAAGAACGAGGACCAAGAGGATGGAGGTTTTGTTCTTTGTTTGACGTGAGCTGCAACGGCAAAACATCACAAAACCTGAACACCGTTCGACCTCGTTCGAGTCTTCAGACGGTCCAAGATGAAAACGGTTTCCTCGACACACTGTTTGAAGTTGATCAGTACCGTGGGTGGTGGGGAATGTCCAGGGTTGGGGCAGACTGACAGAGCGTGGGGAGGTCAACTCTAACAGAGGGAACATTTGCTTGGTTGAACCCAGCTGCGACACGTCACACACACACACACATACACACTCTGCTCCGAGGAGAGGGCGAGATAATGTGAGAGACCTATAATCTCTGAACCCTCAGCTTAGGCCCTAGTCCTGTACTAACATGTACGTGTCCTTTGAGGTTGACTTTCTTTATTACAGGACTATAAATAACCTTGTAACCATGAAAGCAGCCCCTGATGTTCAAACTGGACAAGAAAATGGGGTGTTTTGGTTGTGTCTGAGTGAATGCCTGTAACACACACTTATCAACTGAGTTCTGCTCAGTTTACATCCTCTCCAAACTGATCCCAAATCCTTGAGCCATTTCTAGGGAACCAGTCAAAACAAGCCCCTGTGATTGGACAAATGGTTCCCTGTCGACATACTCCTACTGTCTCTTTTTATCGATCTTTGCGTTCACTATTTGGCGATGCCGGAAGCATTGGTGAAGAGAGCAAACGGGCCAACCAGGTTGTGTAAGTTTGTCTGACTAATACAGACAGTGAGTGATGCTGAAAGCAGAAGGTACCAATAGAGATTGAACTTTAGACACAATCAAAAGTCCCGTTGAGTGTTTCAAGGAAGGATTTATATTGCCCCCTAGTGGACACAGATTAAACTGTATTACGAAAAATGATAAATTGTATATTCAGTTGTTTTATATTAATCTACAGGATTTTATTCTTTTATAAATTATTAAATAAATATTTTATGTAATGAAAAGAATTGATGAAGCATTGACTTGCATTTGGACTCTCGTTCTATTTTTTCTACTTCTAAACTTGTTTTCCTGATAAATAATCACAGCCTAAGTGAACTTTTTTAAAAAGAAATAGCCCCAGGGAAGGACTAAGGCCTGGATTTCTGATGATCTATGATAGCTACGGAGAGGCTTCAAAGTTAATCAAATTAATCCAATTTAGAAGTCTGCATACAGGTATTAGAATTAATCTGTGAAAAAGTAAACGAACGTGCTAAGGCAGTGCGAGTTGGCGTCAGTATAGCGCTCTCTATCATCTGCCCTGGGTTTATACACATCATTGGACGAGACGGAGTGCCAACATCACCAGTGTCTGGGCTCATCACACCAAGACTACAGATGTTACTGTTATTCTCAATCTGGGTTCCAGTCAAAGGAAATTACCACAAGTCTGACTACATGGAACGGTGACTTTGTGAAATTAGTTCACACTTGATTTCACAGGCTTGAGCACTAAGCTTGAAAACACACACCTAAATGTACAAGGCAAGCTTTTAAAATGCGATCACAGATGTGGATATTAGCGTACAGTGTGCAACCATGGACCAATATGGATCAATATAAATGATCATAAAGCCTGACACACAAGTATACCCCACCCTACAACAAACCATAACTCTTAATTCCTTAACCTAACCATATCTTTAATTCCTAAACCTAACCCTATATATGAATTCCTAAACCTAACCACTAACCTAAGATCTAACACCAAATATGTAATTGAAATAATGTTTTCTTATCATCCCTGTGTTGTGCAATATTTATGTATGGCATAATACTGGATCGCTTGTCTTGCACCATTGCAGCTGTGTTTTTTTTCTGAGGCATCGATAACCAGTTATCATTCAGTACGGATCATAAAAATAATATCAATGTGACCTTTCTGGTGTTTTGTCTGGGGCATCAGTTGCCAGGGCTCACCTAAAATGCCATGACAATTTCAATGTCACCTCTCGGGTTATTCACTTAAGACCAGATACTACAAAAAAATAATTTAGTAAGGATCGGTGAATGAAAATGCAGTAGTGATGGTTATTTAAAGGTTGCAGACACACTTTATGAATGCATCACATTTAAATTAACATCACTTAGTAGGCACTTTTACCTGAACAACTTACAATAAATCATTCAGTATGGATAATAAAAATAAAACGTTCCCAACCATGGTAAAATAGTAATATTTGATCAAACACACAGCCAAAGAGATTTTAAACGGAGAGCTGTACTTGTTAGTTAACCTAACCAGACGAATCTAAGCTGATTTGGTCTACTACATCAGATAGACGCAGTTCTGTACACATGCTAAACATGCATGTGCTCTGACGCCATCTAGTGGTAACAATCGAGTTTCACAGCCTAAATGGACTTTCACTAAAAAATATCGTAATTTACTGTTACTGCTCGGCAGACCTGGTAAATCAGATTATATTAGGAGCATGTTACCTAAACACATACTGCATACTCATGTGTTATTTGTGTTGTTTGGTGTAATTGTGAAAACATGAGTGTTTGGTAGAGTTGACTGATAAAATCAAGCGTGTCAAGGTGTCTAAAATACTTTTAAAAATTGAGTGATCATTGTTTAGGAATTTAGAACAATTAAAAATATTTTGAATTATTGTTGAATATTATTGTTGAATATTATTGTTGAATCATAATTAATCATTAAACCTTGGTCAGGACACGTTACACCTCTATAATGACGTCATTGTTAACACAGTCAGGGAGTCAAGAAAAATTATTGCTCATTGATGGAGGTCTAGCTTGGTTAACTGCTGTTTGAGGCAAAGGTTTAACATGGACTTCTCCAGGCCCATGCATAAGGAGGACCAAACCTGTCATAATTGTAAACAAATAAAAAACAATACATTAATATATGTGACACCCACGTTTGTGTGTTCACATTTGTGGATGATGTTGTTTTATTTTTTTATTTTAATGCACTACCAGCAACGTTTTAATGAACAATCACCTACTGTATTTTATTTGCCTTTTTTATTGAAGTCACATAACCGAAGTAGTGGCAAAGCGGAACCTTTGTGTCATGTTGGTTGTGGCGGGGGGACCAGTATGAGTGGGGCGCTGCTGTTGTTTTACCTCAGAAACAATCTGGGAACCAACAACTGTGGCTGTGACTCATTGTTTCTCCTTTCCACCTGTTCACACAACAGGTTAGTAAAGTATAAAACATGTGTTCTATGAATTTTGTCTAGTTTTTTAATATTTATTAAATGTGATCTGTTAAAGTTAGGATTTGATTGTAATGAATTTCGACAATGTATAACTATAAAAGTTAAAATGTGTTAGCGAAGTTCTCTCAGCAAGGGCTACAGTTGTACCGAAGGGCTCGCAAACACTGAATGCCACGATAGTTTGGGAGCTAGTTTAGAGAGTAAATAAGCCCCATTAGACAGAGTGAATGAAAGTTAAATATTCATGTTATTAAAACAGAAAGAGATCCATCTTTATAACTAAATTGTAAACTGCTATGTTTAATGTATTTTCGGTGGTTTTGACCTATGACAGACAGAAACCATAGGTCTGAGGTAAAAGTTTTCCCGCCGTGAAGGCTAGTGACGGTCAAGTAATGACTCGCGCACCCTTTTAACACTGAATGTTGCGGTGGCTCAGTGAATGACAGGGTGGTTTGTATTGTAAGACAGGAGAGTTGTCTGGTTACTGCGGTGGGTGAGTGCATGTAAAACAGAGGGGAGGTGTTGATCATTGTTTTACTGACCAAAATACAGTGTTTGTTATTTATTAACTGAATTATTTATTGATGAACTGAATTAGATAATAGTAATGTATTTAAGAATGTATTTATTAATCTAATTATTTATTGATGAACTGAATTAGATAATAGTAATGTATTTAAGAATGTATTTATTTATTAACTGAATTATTTAATAGTTATGTATTTAAGAATGTATGTATTGATGAACTGAATTAGATAATAGTTTTGTATTTAAGAATGTATTTATTGATTAACTGAATTCTATATTTGTGAAAAAAAGGTTACATTCAGTTATTTGCTATGAGATATGAGGTATTAAGAACAGCATTGTTGTGTGTTGATAGTGACATGATTGCACTGAAATGTTTTATGCAGAAAATAAACAATGTTGTTTTACCTGAGAAACAATCTGGGAACCAACAACTGTGGCTGTGACTCTTCATTGTCTTGTTCATTCATCATTCACACCAGGTCCCAATTAGTTATCATTAAGAATATATATGTTAGGTCCTTTGCCATCCCTATCAGTTAGTCATTGGTTCATGTTACGTATTATTAGTTAGTGTCTTACGTGTAGCTATTTTATCTTTAGTCGTTGCTGTTCCGTGACTGCCGCCCTCTGTATTATGACAAAAACTAGAGTGAACTCAATGCATGGAATGTGTTCTGGCCGAGTCTGCCCCGCCCCTGCATAACAGAGGGACTGGCGCCTATCAGCAGCTGTGTTTCTCCATTTCAATAACGTATCCTGTGACTGCGTCTGAACATAATACCCTATAGAGTCCTTCTGTTCTTATGACATGCCAGGGTGCAGTAGTCTGGACCCCAATCTGTTTTGGACTTTTGTCTTTACCAATCATAACGATGCCACCAGGAGTTGGCCAGATAGCAGAAAATAGCTGGGCGTTGAACCCAGGACATCACACATTCAGAGATTGCACTCTACCACTGAGCTACCAACTCCTCCATGAAGGAAAGAAGATGAGAGTGAGCTTTATTGCCAAGTAGATTTACAACGAACAATACATTTGTTTTGGCCCGTTAGTGCAGCAATTAACCCTAGCCTGTATAACTAGGATGTGTTTACATGGTTCCTGCTATGACTCGACACATCCAGAACCCTGCTGTCTATGTCATGTAGCACACACTCTCACCCACAGGGACATTTGTGTTCCAGTCGCGCCAATGGATTTTGGGATTTGAACCCAGAAATGTTGGCGACCCCTGTGCCACGTCCTGTCTCCACCAACTGCTCGTCTGCATGATCTGCACAAACCTCGCTACCTCCCCTTAGAGATCCGGATTTTCATCCATTACGAACTTGTTTCAGCTGTCCCAGACATCATGCGGCCTGGTAATGTGTGTCCCATCAGTGTGGAATCTGCAGTTTCACAGGTGCTGCCGAAACCACTGCTACATAGGATGAATATGGAATGTTGTGTCAGGGCGTAGGGAGAGGGAGAGAGAGCAATAGAGAGAGACCGGGAGAGAGAGAGACATGGGAGAGGGAAATAGAGTGATAGAGAGAGATGGGGAAAGAGAAAGAGACATGGAGAGAGAGGGGGAGAGAGACATGGAGAGAAACAGGGAGAGAGAGAGGGAGAGAGACATGGAGAGAGAGTGTGAGACAGGGAGAGAGATATGGAGAGAAACAGGGAGAGAGAAAGACAAGGAGGGAGAGAGACATGAAGAAGGAGAGAGTGCGACAGAGACAGGTAGAAAGAGAGACATGGAGAGAGAGAGAGACACATGGAGATGGAGAGAGAGTGCGATCGAGAGAGACAGGGAGAGAGTTATGCGGATCATTAGCCCCCTCCTCCAACCCACACCCTGCTGAAGGCACACAGACGCACAGTCAGATGCAGCACTGAGCCACCGGTAGACAGACACAGCTCCAGCGCCGTCCGCTTCCAGAACCGGCACACCCTGCTTTACGGTAAGACACCCGGTAGAACCGTAGCTGCCGCGCGTTACATCTACCGTGCACCGCATTGCGCGTACACACGATGCATCGGTTATGCTTGTGAGGACCGCGTTTTGAGATAAATGAATGCTGTGTGATTTATCCCCGGTGGTCTGGTCTGTGGTGAGCTCACGATGCAGTCAGTAAAAATACACGCCGTCACGTATTCGTCACGGTCCATGTGCTTGATTTGGGTGATAAAGCTGGATACTGTTATGTATTTCTACAGGCTGGTTATTAGTGAGTGTTATTATCCGTAATGACTGCACACAGTGATGATTTTAGAAGGGGACATTACTATCATTATCTATAATGAGGCACTTGTCTTGAATCATTTGTCTTGGCACTCCTGGGTTGCCGGGGAGAAGGTTGTGAGAGAACATATACCAGGACTGGAGGGGGGGGGGATGGAGAGAATGGACATATAGAGAATGCAATAAGACTGGGAGCAAATATGTCATTGTGGATCTGAGCTGTAGTTATGAGTGACCAGCCTGACAAAGAACAATAGCCTGGCATCCAGAAATGTCTTTGTACAGCCATTCAAACAGTCACTCGTACAGACAGCCAGACAGACGGACACACAGACAGATGGTCAGACACATATACAGACTGAAAGACACACATATAGACAGACACACAAACAAGTATTGAAACCCTGTTTGAGGGTACCAAGGACGGTATAAAAGTCCTGTTCCATTCTACGTGGTGTCCATTCTGATGAGGCTGTATCAATACCATGTGTTATTAACTCCACCCTGTCTCCACCCTCTCTCCACCTTCAGACACTATGTCTGACAAACCCAATATGAAGGAAATCTCCGGCTTCGACAAGACTAAGCTGAAGAAGACTGAGACCAAGGTGAAGAACCAACTGCCAACCAAAGAAAGTGAGTGACTGTTGTCTCCTACAGTCGAGAATCAGCCAGTCGAGAATGAGACGGACGAGAATCAGCCAGACGGGAATCAGGCAGACCGGAATCAGGCAGACGGGAATCAGCCAGACAGGGCGTGCCACAAGCTGCTAGATACATCCCATTACTTTCCTGTCTCCCTAGCAACAGATGACTAGGCAACAAAAAAGGGAGATTAGGTCCTTCGAAGAACAACTGTGTGTGTGTGTTCAGGTTCCCGATACTACGGACAGATAGCATATTTCCACTGTATTGAACACAAATGCCTTACTGGAACATCCAATGTTCTTAATCATATCCCAGAGGAGGATGGGTTCGCACTATTTAAATCAGTCTCACAGAATGACCGCACGAGTCAACAGCTGTGTTCCAGGCAAAGGGTTGCAACACAGATGGGCAGCGAGACGGGTGTATAAATCTGACACATCGGGTCATCGTCTCCACCCCCCATAGGGGGGGAGGGGTTAAGGGGGGGGGGGTCTGGGTCAGAAGCAGAGCATCGGAGACCTGTGTTGAAAACGACATGGTTGGATATTTTCTCATTAGTGAAACCCCTGAATGCGTATTGTGTTCTTGAAAGTGGAATATGTTATAAACAGAGTGTGTGGACCAAATATTTGTATGTTGCTGTTTGTATTGAGTAATAGCATGTGTGTATTTTTCAGAGTGGGCATTAACTAACAGCTTATAATAGTAAAATGCACCAGTGATGCCCAGAAAGACTAGTCTTGGTTTGGCTTGGCGTTACCTAGCTGCATTTTTAGGTTCCACCCATTCGGCTTTACTAGCTTTTATTGAAAACAACAGCTTGAGGGCTGTCTTGAGATTACTATAAAACAATTGCAACCTGCGTAATTGTCCATGTCACCTACGATTTCTTGCCATTACATACAACCATTTTGCCTTCAGGAGGATAGGATGAAGTTTACTTCGTCTAGCTAATCATTCAGTGCTGATAATATATATGTCAAAACTCATAGATTGCTATTTTTTCTCTTCTGTAGCGATCGACCAAGAGAGGAAACGAGAGCCATCGCCTTGACCAAAGGGAGGAGACCGGAGTAGTTTCTAACGAACTACTGATGATGTTGATTGTCTGTCTGAAGAGTAAACAGGACCTTGGACTTTTTCACACTGGTGTTCAACCAGAATGAATGAATGAGCAGTAATGGGCATGGCTGTTACAGCTAGAGAAGCATTCTTTCATTTAAACAGTTTTTTGCTCTGTATGTCTCAGTCAGAGAAATAAAAATGGCTTTGAAAAACACGTTTTGTTGTTGTATGCAAGTAATGGTTCTCAAGCCTGTTAAAAGTTATTTAAATAGCTATTATTAAGTTGCTATTCTCCACGGGCTTCCTTGGCTCAGAAACATAAAGCCACCATTTTGGAGAAGGTGATCTCTCTCCGGTCCAGAATGTCTGCATGCTGCACTAAACTCAACCAGGTTGGCTACAGTGGGGAAACCGCTGAGCTCATTGCAAATGTATCTTTATCTCATAACCAACAAATCGCTTACTTTAAAACCAATTGGTTTATGTCGCTTGTCAATTGCCACCTCGTTTTAACAGTTCCCCCGAGACGTCGGCCTAGCCCTGCGACCCAGGCGGAAAACCTATTTTGTTGTCGTTGACGTTTGGATTAAATATGTAAGGGTTGGAAAGCAGAGAGCTAGCCACGAATCTCAGACAAGTGCTGGACAAACAATCATCGCATGAATCTGAGTTTGTGAACACAGATTAAAATTAGCATCCTGACAGTCACTTAAAAGAAGTCATTCTCCATTGGTCTTGTTTTTTTGTCCTAGACTGTAATCCGTGTCTGCAAAACTGGCCCTTGATATTGACTTGGGTCAGATTTGAGCCTAGTCCAGTACCCAAAAATCTGGCTCATCTTAAATCATATATTTTAGTCTAGGACTAGGTTTAAGCAGTGTTTTGTGAAACTGGCTCTTGGAGTGTACGATTAATCAAACAAAATAACTATTAAACCAGACCACCTGGTGCTAGATAATAAAATATATGTTACACCAACATAACAGACCTTAGAGATCGCTTTCTCATACTCACCCCGTATGGATTGGAAAAGGCTTTGAAAGTTTTTTTTATTGCCCAGATCAGTATCACCCACTACAATATGTTCACTGACAGATCCACGGAGGACGCCAAGTGTTCACTACTGAACGCTCTACTATAGGGAGGAAGACTTGGTGTAGCTCAGTAGTAGTGTGCATGCTTTGAATGTATGATGTCCTGGGTTCAATCCACTGGCTTCACTCCAGGTTGCCGTTGCAAATGAGATTTTTTTCAGAATCGGCCTACCTGGTTAAATAAAATAAAAATATGCGATGTTCACCCATAACTGCGGATACTCTCAAGAGTGCCTAACATAACTAACTGAAATCTAGTGTGCCACCTGGGGTCCTGTTGAAATACTTTCCCTGCACCATAGACACCCTTCTGAAGAGCTGTGTCACAGAACCAGTCGGCACATAGTATCATACTATGAAGCTCAGAGACTGTTTCCCCCACTAGCCAGCCACCTGGGAGACACCTGGAAACCAATACCGACCCTGTTTGCCTGGGCACACACACTCAGACGACCATATGTACAAGAAAGTGGTCAGAATGTCACAATGCAACAAGACATAGACCCAAAAAGCACATTTTAACTGTTATAGACTAACCAAGTCAGTCTAGAATACAAGCCATTTGAATTACATTACAATTACATAATGCTAAAATATATAGATTCCCATATTTCTTAGTATAAATTGCAGTCTATACACACCAAAATATGGTTCATCCACAAGACACATTATAGCATAAGCATACTAATGTGAACATGTCAGTACTGTAGCCTCCGGGGGGAGTCGTACCGGGATATCCCATTTGGAGGGGCGAGTAGTGGCCCTATCCGGGTCGCTACAATATTATACAAAAACAGGTTCAACGCTTTAATGGCACGTAAACGTACAGCAATAAGAGTATTCTTATTTTTATTTAAAAAAAGTTTGTTAAGAATGACCTAGTAGTATAGTTACAAAGTTAATCAAAAACATTTAATAAAAATCGACATTGTTACTTTG